GGGTAGGGGGTGGTACGAGGAGGGGAGAGGAGGGAGGAGGGGTGGTCCAAAAAAGAAAAGCTAATCCTACCAGCGGCTACGGGGGAAGTGTAAAACTAAAAAGAAGAAGAATAAGTCTTGTTGCTGCCTTTTGTGTGCGATGGTACCTTCCGGGTATGTGTTGTTGCTGCCTTCTGTGCATTTGGTACTGATGGTCTGAGGCGGGTGGCTCCGTTCTACTAGAGAGGACCAAGGGGATCAAGGGGCTGGGCATACAGAGCTGCAGGATCTTAAGGATAGGTTGCAATCATTTCAAGATATCTGATCAAGAAATGACAACGTGGATGTCTGATGTGGAAAAAACGGCAATGAATCCTTTGATTGTGAAGTTCAACAGGATCAATCTTGAGAACTCTTGCTTGAGTGATGTCAAGGACATCATCTTTGATAGGTACATGGAGTTATGCAAGTCAGAGATCGAGGAATTCAACAATGCCAACTTTATGTGCGAGATGTGCTGCTCTTGGACACCTTCTGAAGAGTGCAATAGATTGTCTGCCTGCAAGACCTGCACAGATAATTATTTTGTATGGAGATGCTCTACATGTGATGATGTGTTTGAGCACCTCGACGCGATGGAAACCGCAGTATGTCGCGATGGACGCTTGATAAAGGAGCGACACTGCAAGAGATGTGAAGAGGAGCTCGAGTTGTCATGCTGGGATTGTGGAATGGTATACAAACTGTGCAATGGATATGATGAGGAATATTGCTCATATGGCTGCAAGTCTAGAAACGCATGGTTGTAGTCAACGAGAACCCAGACAGGGGTACATCTTACTGACTGTGCAGCCTCATATGGTTGCTCATATGGTTGCTCATATGGTTGCTTATCTGGTTGCATGTCTGGAGACGATTGGAGAGATTAAACAACAAGGATCCAGGGGGTATATTTTACTAACTGTGCACCCTGAATACAAGCTTATTGCTTGATCAATGTTTGGATATTCATTCTTACAAGTCTCTAGTAAACTCCTCAGAATCTAGCCTTCTTTTCTTGTGGCTACATTGTTCATCTTCACAATCTAGCCTTCTTCTCTTGTGGCGACATTGTTCATCTTCACAATCTAGCCTTCTTCTCCTGTGGCGACATTGTTCATCTTCACAACAATCTAGCCTTCTTCTCTTGTGGCTACATTGTTCATCTTGTGTCTGGCAGCCCTTACAGTTACAACTTCCTGCATTGGCTCCTCACCCTGTTGTGCTCACATATTTCACCTGCTTCCCCTCTCCTCTCCTCTCGTGCAAGATCTTCTTCTCTCCGGTCAGATCTGCTCCTCGCAGTCTCTTGCTTTCCTTCTTTCCGTCTCTTTCCTTCTCTTCATTCTCTCTGTGATACCTTTATCCCTTTCTCACCCTCTCTTAAAACATCCTATCTTGTAAACATCTTAAACATCCTATCTTGTAAACATCTTAAACATCCTATCTTGTAAACATCTCTCATTGTCTACTGCTTGTTCATCTTTCCTGTTGATCACCCTCTCTCTCTCTCCCTTCCCTTGTCTTTCTCTCTTCTCTCGTTGCTCTCTCTTTGCTTCTTCCTGTCGAGCTGCTTCTCTTCCAGGCTCAGCTGTCAGCAGAGAGAGAAAGACGAGACGGGGGAAGAGGGAGAAGAGGAGAGGGACGAGACAAGTGAAGAACAGAAGAGCGTACCGTCAGAGGAAGCGCAGGGGACGCAAGGGAGAGGAGAGGGGATAAAAGAAAAGAGAGCGAAGGAGAGGAGACGAGGAGAGAGGAGGCGAGAGCTTCTCCTCTTGCAAAGGAGGTAAGGATGGAACAGGAGAGGACAGCAGAGTAGAAAGGCGATCAGAGAAGCAAAGGGAAGGGAAGAGGAGAGGAGAGAGGAGGGGAGCAGAAGAGACGAGCAGAGCAGGGAGGAACAGAGAGCAGAGAGCGGAGGAGAGGAATGAACAGGAGGGAGGTAGTGGAGTGCAATGACAAGGGGAGCGGACAAGGGAGAGGACGAGTAAAGAGAGATGGAGGAGCAAGGAGAAGGGGGAAGAGAAAGAGCAGAATCACGACCAGCAGCCAAGATGCAGAAAGAGGGAAAGAGAGAGTGAAGGATAAGACGTAAGGTATGTATGAGGAGACAGACGCGAGCGGCCACAAGAGCAGAAGAAAACGCAGAAGAGAAGAAGAAATGTTTGCAACATAGACAAAAGAGAGGCAGAGGGAGACAAGCTGTCACATTGTGAAGAAGGATGATGACAAGGGAGACAGGAGCGAATGGGAAGCTCTCGGCATATGATGGGATGAGAGGCTGAGACGAGACAACAAGGGATGAGCAAGGGAAGCAGAGAGGTCTGAGATTGAGTGAGACAACCTTGCAGTCACTCTTGTCTCGTCTCTTCTTCTCCTTCTCTCTCCTCTCCTCTCCTCTTCACTCCTCCCCGTCCCTTCCCCATGGCAGCCCCCTTGTCACTGGACCCTACCCCCTCGGTATCTTTCTACCCCCTCACCCCCTCCCCCTTGCGACATCACCATGAGACTCTACAGACAGACTACCGGGTCCTGGCCCATCACTCTCACGACCACCTACCCCTCTCGTCCCTCTCCTTCATGTACCCTCTACCCCCCTCCCATCAAGAGAGGTCAATCTTTTCTTTATTCGAGCAATACACCCTCACACTGAGTACCCTCCGAGTGACCGGGCCTGCGGCCCCGAGGCCCCGGGGCCCCGGCCCGGTGCTTCAGCTACTCCCGTCCCGGGCCCGAGGAGGGACTCCGGTGAGTAGAGGAAGAGAGCTGCGGGGCTGTACAAGACATGTGCTATCCGAGTCATACGGCAGTAGATGCCTCACTAGTGCAAGCACAAGCGATGAGAGGCCTAGACCAGTCTCCTCGCATGTCTCCCTAGTCACTAGTAGATCCTGCACATGCTCGTCCCGCTCGAGCGACACATCGGGCATGACCTAGACGTCGCTGCCTCCTTGCAGTCCTCGCACAGACACTTGTGACCGCAGGGGATCAGCGCCCATTCAGCTCTTCGATCCATGCAGACGACGCATGGCTGCCCGCGCTCTCCGACGGCATCATCGTATCGCTGCTGAAGCTTCTTCCGCAGCTCGCTGAAGCTCGGCCGCTCCTTGATCTTCTCCCGCCAGCACTCTCGCATGATCGCATACACTGCTGGAGGGCATGCAGCAGGAGCCGCTAGTCGCTCCCCGTCCACAACCTTGGGTCCTACAAGCTCATCGTCGGTGATGGCCCAGTAAGGGACTTTGCCGTAAGTCCAGACCTCCCACAGCGTCACCCCGAACGCCCACACGTCGCTCTTCTCCGAGTAGCGATGTCTCAGCAAGCTCTCCGGCGCCATCCATCGCGCCCGTCCAGCCCTCGAGCCTGCCGAGCTCTCGCTCCCTACCCGACTCACTCCGTCACCGCGCGAGCCCATGATCCATCGCCCGTAGTCGGCTACCTTGACCCTCACCCCGAGGTGATCCTGCCCTTGCAGACTCCAGACAAGCACGCTCCTCGCCGCCAGCTCCCGGTGTACAACCTCGTGCAGCGACAGCTGCTCCATCCCGTCGCAGATCTGCCTCGCCACCTCCAGCTGCACCAGCTCACCCATCGTCTCCTCCTCCTCCGCGAAGCTGCGCAAGGTCCTCTCGAGAGAGCCCTGGCAAGCGTAATCAGTCACCAGGCAGTAGTCGCCAGAGCTTGGCTCGACGGTGACGGCGAGGAGGCCAAGCAGGCTGCGGTGACGGCCCAGCTGGTGCCAGGTCTTGACCTCCTGCTCGAGAGCTTGTCTCCTGACAGTAGCTCCGCTGCCTCGGATACGTAGGATGGCCACATCAGCGGTGCTGGCGTGCGGCTGCCGCCAGCGAGCCTTGTAGACGAGCTTGGAGGAGCCTGAGCCGACCTGACGACTGTCGACCAGGCTGTCGTAGTTCACCGATGGAACGCTTCCCAGCTGGAGACGAGAGGATCACATCAGTCATCGACCCTCATACAGACACAAACAGGACCTGAGAGACAGCGCCCTGCTGGTTGTCGTCGTCAGACGCCTGCTGCTCCGCGTCTCTCTGCTGGCGCTGGTGCTGGCGCTTGCGCTTCTTCGTCTTGTCGCTTCTACACCTCTCATGTCGCTCGATCCCCTCCTGCGCGGGCTTGACGCTGCGTTGCAGTGCCGCTGACAGAAGCTCTCCGCTCCATAGCCGCCGCATCCAGCCCTCTATCTTGCTCGCCAGCTCCTCGTCCTGCCTCGCTCGCGCTGCCTCCGCCGCTGTTCGTCCCAGCGAGTCTCGCAGCTCCCCGAGCTCTCCGCCCCCGACCTCCAGCAGCCTCTCACAGACAGACCAGACGCCTCGCGCCGCCGCCACGTGCAGCGCCGAGCCATCAACCATCCTCATGTGAGTCTTGAGAGACACGCTGGATACGCTACGACTATGACCTCTGAGGCAGGCTTTCTCCTCCATGCTCTCAAGGTCCCACACTCTCAACGTCGCATCGCTACTCCCGCTGACGGCCGTCTTGCCGTCCTCGCTGATCGCCACGCTCTCTACCGCACTACTATGACCCTGAAGACAAGCCTTCTCCGTCATGCTCCCAAGGTCCCACACCCTCAGCGTCGTATCGGCACTCCCGCTGACAGCCGTCTTGCCGTCCCCGCTGATCACCACGCTGTATACCGCATCAATATGACATCTAAGACAAGCCTTCTGCTTCATGCTCCCAAGGTCCCACACCCTCAAAGTCCAATCCCTACTCCCGCTGACAGCCGTCTTGCCGTCCCCGCTGATTGCAACGCTCCATACCTGATCTTGATGACCTCCAAGACAAGCCTTCTGCGTCATGCTCCCAAGGTCCCACACCCTCAGCGTCTTGTCCCAGCTACCACTGACAGCCGTCTTGCCGTCCCCGCTGATCGCCACGCTCCTTACCAAGTCACTTTGACCCTTACGACAAGCCTTCTGCTTCATGCTCCCAAGGTCCCACACCCTCAGCGTCTTATCGTCACTCCCGCTGACAGCCGTCTTGCCGTCCCCGCTGATCACAACGCTGTATACCCAGTCACTATGACCTCCAAGACAAGCCTTCGGCGTCATGCTCCCAAGGTCCCACATCCTCAGCGTCTTGTCCCTACTCCCGCTGACAGCCGTCTTGCCGTCCCCGCTGATCGCCACGCTCTCTACCGCATCACTATGACCCTTGAGACAAGCCTTCTGCTTCATGCTGTCAACGTCCCACACCCTCAATGTCTTATCGTCACTCCCGCTGACTATGGTCGTGACTCTCGCTGGTCCTACTGGATGCTTCTGCTTCAGTCGCTCTGCTCCTGCACTCACGGCCAGCACTCTCACTTCCCCCTCATCTCCTCTCTCGATCGCTTCGATCAGCTGCAGCCGCTTCCTCTCGTCCTCCTCCATCCTCTCCCGCTCGTCGTCGGAGACCAGGCTCATCCTCCTCCTCGCTCGTCCTGCAGCCCCAGCACAAGGACCTCTTGTCTTCCCTCGCTCCTCTCGAGCAGACCGTCTGCCGTCCTCGTCGTCCTCGTCGTGCTTGAGGTCCGTAGGGAGGAGTAAGAGAGAGCGAGAGGCCTGTAGCAGGGATGAGCAGCGGGACCTCTCAGGCTTGTCTGACAGCCTTGAGCCTCTCACACGTCTATCTCTTGTATATGTCTAGTATGTCTAGTAGGCATCGCTTGTCTGTATGTGATGTCTTGTGCTTGAAGGCTGTCGACGTCGTCTTCTTGAACATGTGCGTTTGTTGTCGTCTCGTCATCAGTCTTTCTTCTTGTCTCTCTCTATCTGCTCTGTCGTGTCTCTCCGTCTCTCTTCCTTGTCTATGTGTCCGTCTCTCTTGTCCATCGAGAAGACATGTGAAGCAACCCTGCCCTACCTCCCCTCCCTTCATCTTTCCCTCTTTCCCTTCTCCCTCCCTCCTTCCTCCTTCCTCTCCTTCCCTTCCCTTCGCTTGTCTCTTTCTATCGCTTCTCTCTCCTTGTCTCTCCCTCACACCACCTGACCTCTCCCTTCCCTCTCCCTTCCCTTCTCTTTCCCTCCCCTCGATCCTCTCCTCTTCCTCTGCTTATCCTACCGAGCTCTGTCAGGACCCCTCCTTTATCCCTCCCTCCCACCCCTACCCCACTCCCTTACCCCCAGTCCCCCCACCCACCCGATCCAGGGGGTGGTACGAGGAGGGGAGAGAAGGTAAGGGGGGTGGTCCAACTAATCCTACCAGAGAGGCTCAGGGGGGAGGGAGGGGTGGAGGAGGAAGGGGCGGGAGGGGGTGGTGGGGTGGGGTCGAGAGTTCAACCCTCTTTCTCATTGTTTGGGGCAGACAGCCAGGCGTCAGCCGGGAGACGGACAGGTGGAGGAGAAGCAGGAGAAGCTGACACAGTGAGAGATGGTACAGCTGGAGCTGAGAGGTGAAGGAGGCGAGAGAGGACCTCGAGGACATGAGGCTGCAACAAGATGAGGCACCAACAACCTGCAATGATCGGCGCATGAGGGCATGCCGATGGGGGTAGGAGCTGGAGGGCTTGAGAGAGCGCGGTCATGCGAGTACGCTTTCAATAAGGCATCAAACATGCTTCACAAGGTCCAGCTGCACATGCCACCGTAGCAACTTCCAGCTGCATGCCTGCTGTCCTCCACCATACAGCAGAGAGCATCCCCGGCCAGCCTCCCCCCACCAGCACCCCAGCACAAGCCCTGGCTACCTCTCGAGCTGCTGGGCACATGCCTCCGTCTCGCTCCTCGGCGGCCTGATCCCAGCAGCCTCTCGAGCTCGAGCAGGCCTTATGTCGGATTGTGAGTACCTTCCCAACCTAGAGCTTTAAGGGAAGGAGCCTGCTGGGAAACGAGAATGCGGCAAAAGGTTGGAGTTGTTAGTAAAGAGAGAAGCGGCAAGAGGAGGAGAAGGGGGAGGAGCAGGAGAAGTAGCGGGTGGAGAGGAAGAGAGGGAGGAGAGAAGGAGCGGGAGGAGCGGGAGAAGCAGGAGGATCGGGAGGAGGAGCTGCACCTTCCTCTCAGCGAGCTCTTCAATGTGCTCCGAGCAGGTCTCGTGAGGGAGACCATGAAGGCTGTATCGCACAAGTTCCATACACTCGCACGATCCTTCGGAAGGGGGTTGACAGACATTCTGTCTATATCCTTCAAGGTGATCAAGGGGCTCAACGCTTGTTGGAACATATCCTTGAGCAGCATGACGCAGAGGGATCGCAGGACTTGCATGTCTTTGATGCTGTTGCTGTTCAACCTAGTGACAACCTCCTCAATGTTGATCTTGCAAGTCACGACGTTCTGCATACTTGTTGCATGTCCTCAGGATGGTCACACGTTCTTGCAAACGAGGAGGGTCACTTCTCCTGGTATGCCGGGCTCTCATATGCCGCGGCTTGCAGCACTTCAAAGTAAGGAGGAACCGTTCGATCATGCACGTCAACGATCGACTGCTTCAGCAAGACTTGAGGGATCCTTTGCTAGTGGCGCGCTTATCCTGAGGTGGGGACGGGGGGGGATTCTATGTGAACGGGGGGGATTCCATAGTTCCGCGGATGACAACACCCCTATCGCCGTTGTCCACAACATGGTTGAGCACCAGCAAGACGATGCGCATGGGGTCAAGGACGGGAGGAGGAGGGGAGAGGAGGTGCAGGAGGGGAGGATTAGACTCGTATCATGTGAGAGAAGCTTGAGAAAGGTTGGCGCTTATCCTTCCTCGTTCGCTCCTCCCCTCGTCAGGTCTCGCCAGTGTCCCCGCAGACCCATCCTGTCATCTCCACGCGCCTCATCTTCGGGAGGCACGGGCCGGGGGTAGAGATAACTGTAAGGACAGAGGGGGGTGGTGGGGTCATGTCCGTGCGGGGGTGATGTAGGGCCGGAAGTTAACCAGACTCGATGGGGAGACAGGGGTGGGTGGTGGTCTTTAGGTCAGATTTCGGTAGGGGTGGGGGTGGGGGTTCATTTGAGTGCCAGAGCAGGGGGAGGTGTAGGCATCTGGCTGAGCCAGAAGTTCTTACAGACGCAAGAAGTTCAGGGCTAGCTTCCTTTCAGGTGGTGGAGCCAAGCGCGGCATAGGGCTTGGAGCTTAGGATGTGACTTACGAGATTGACGGACTGGGTGAGGGGGCGCTGGAGAAAAGGGTGTCGACGTGGAAGCGAGGGGACTCGGCATTGTGGAGACAGGAAGGAGAAAGGGAGCTGCTGGTGTTGGTTGCTGTGTCTGATCCTGAGAATGAACTGCTGGTGGTTGTGTTGGGAGTCTGGAGAGACTCATTGTGAAGTGCCGAAGCCGTGTGGTGTAGTCAGCCATCTCCGAAAGCCAACCATCTCCGAAAGCCAACCATCTCCGAAAGTCAACCATCTCCGAAAGTCCGGGTGTCCAGGGAGTGTCGTGAAGAGGAAGGTTGTTGGTTGCGTAGGAGATTGTTTTGTACAGATCTGTAAAAAGAATTCAAGGTGATTCCTTTAGTGTAGGGGTATAAGAAGCATTTCTATCGCTGAGACTTGTTGGCTCAGTCTCAATCTACTCGATACCTAAACTTGTAAGATACTCCTGAACTGACATGTCCCAAGCATAAGCAGCGCATGTCTTGCCGTCATTGTCTTTCTCCCTCAGCAGCCCCTCCCCGCACCTCTCCGCCAAGTACCGCATAACCTCCAAGTGCCCTCCAGCACTCGCCGAGTGCGCGCATGTCTGGCCATCAATTTTCTTCTCGCTCAGCAGCCCCTCCCCGCACCTCTCCGCCAAGTACCGCATAACCTCCAAGTGCCCTCCAGCACTCGCCAAGTGCGCGCATGTCCAGCCGCCAATTTTCTTCTCCCTCAGCAGCCCCTCCCCGCACCTCTCCGCCAAGTACCGCAAGACCTCCACATGCCCTGCCTTGCTCGCCGCATGCGCGCATGTCGTGCCGGCTTTGGTCTTCTCGCTAAGCAGCCCCTCCCCGCACCTCTCCGCCAAGTACCGCACGACCGCCAAGTGCCCTCCCTCACTAGCCAAGTGCGCGCATGTCTGGCCGCCCAAGTCCTTCTCGCTCAGCAGCCCCTCCCCGCACCTCTCCGCCAAGTACCGCAGCACCTCTAAGTGCCCTCCAGCACTCGCCAAGTGCGCGCATTTCTGACCGCCCAAGTCCTTCTCGCTCAGCGGCCCCTCCCCAAACCTCTCCGCCAAGTACCGCAGCACCTCCAAGTGCCCGCCCTCACTCGCCCAGTGCGCGCATGTCCTGCCATAATTGTCCTTCTGCCTCAGCAGCTCCTCCCCGCACCTCTCCGCCAAGTACCGCACTACCTCCACATGCCCTCTCACACTCGCCAAGTGCGCGCATGTCTGGCCGTCACTTTTCCACTCGCTCAGCAGCTCTACCCGACATTGCTCCTCAACAGCCTCCAGCACCTTCACATGCCCATACTCCGCCGCCCAGTGCATAAAGGTCCTGCCTCCCTCATCCTTCGTTCTTACATCTGCTCCTGCCTCGATTAGCTCCCTCACGCTTCCCGCCCTCCCCAGCATCCCCGCTACAGGCACCCCTGTCCTCCCGTCCTTCATCCGCTCGTCCATGTCGC